ACTATCTCAACAAACATAGAAACAAAAAATTCTTGTGAATTTATTTATTTATAGTTTCCCTTTTGGATCACAGATAAATCTCTTAATTCCTCCACTCACAGCTTTAAACAAAAGTACTTGTAATGATTTCTAGGTTCCATGGCATTAAAATGACAGCTGCTCTGCTAGGTTCCAAGAGGAAAGGATAGAATGTGGCTTCATTTGATTGACATTGCAGTTCCAGCCTCACTATCAAAGGATAGCATGATGCTGCATTTATTTCCAGAGGCAAATTTTCAAATACATGTAGTCTTTGGAGTGTTGACCAGCTAATCCCTTTTATTTAGGCAATGGTCTATAAAGATAAAATAATCATTCTAGAATTCCCTCAGAGGTCCCTAACCTTCGAGTTTACTGACTTAACCGCTATAATAATTAAGAGGATTTCCATTAAAAGTTTTGAGGTATTTGAATCTGCACCAAGAATCCCTCTACCCACACATGTACTTATAATTTTCATACACTGCCATTCCAAAGGCTTGTTAATGAATTAACAGATAATTTAAAAGTAAAACCCAGCAATAAATTCTCCAACACCAGACAGTTGGTTCTGCGATGGTGTGGCACACACTTTGCTGTATATGCTGGATGTGGTTCTGAAAAGTTCAAATTGAGGCTGCAAATGAATAATGCACTGATTATATGAAAATTAAAATACCAGGCTGTATCCTCTCTCACTCTCATTGTTCAGTTGGCAGGACAGACTTTTCCAGAGCCATGAAGCCAGAGCAGCAGCCTCCATCTTCAGACAGTTTCATATTCTTTCAAGTGTATCCTAGTTGTATAATAGTAAAATACTTTCCTATCTCCAAAACAAATTTTAACTACAGGGAGATCTTTATGGAAGCTTTTTAAAATGACTTCCCTTGAGTGTTACAATTTGGAAAGAATGATAATTTGCTAGTGGGTATGTATCAACTAATTGAACACAATTTTCATCTACTGTCAGTAGATTTTGGAACAACAAAAGTGTACTTAATGTTGCTGAAATGAAAAAAAAAAAACTCCACCATAATCTTTTAGAAGAAATAAAGAAGGTGGAAGCTTACAATGCCACTTTAAAGAATGATTCCACTAACACCAACAATAAAAAGTTTAAATAAGTTTATAAAGTTTGGCTGTGTTCATAAAGTTCTCAAGGGAAGTGGGCTGTGTCAGTCCTTATAGGCACATTGCAAAATACACAGCGTATGTTTAATAAAGTAGTCATAGTTGTTGGGAGGTAATCACAAATGCACAGTAGACATTAATGACCAAGTTGAAATGACAGGGAAGCTAACTTATATCAATGGATTAAGCGAAGTTAAAGGAAAAGACAAAAGCTTTTACACTAACAATAAGTTTGATTAAATCCATGCTAGAGTCCAGTCACATTGATTACCATTCCACATTCCCATTCTTGTAAAGTGATGCACATCATAACCTCCAATAATCATATATTTTCCTAGTTAAGACATCCTATTAAGTCCTAACTGAGACTTAGACTTCTGAATAGCTAGATGTAGATGTAGAACAATGCTGCCTACAGCAGAAACAAAAAACCCTAGCCCGTGATTATAGCTGTATCTTTTAAGGAATCTAAGATGTTTAATTCTGATACTCACCAATAGGACAAAAATAGAACCTTTGACACTGTGAAGACAGGAAAAGCTGAAAGAGTTGCATATTAACATGTGGGGTTGATGAATCAGAAATGTAGCATAAAATGTTGGATAAGTGAAGTTAAATATCAGACAGATACGCTTCAGGGTAAATTGATGATTGCCACTCCATTCTTTATCCTCTCTGTACCCCGATCTTATACTTCAGTGACTTAAAATTAGCCAATATAATCAATAATAAACTCTCTAAATGTACATAAAAGGGTAAATATGAATTTTATACTGCGTAGCAACAGGAGTCAATTATTAATCCTACTCTGTATGTTAGGAATGAGGGATGTAGCAATGGACACCTGCACAACCCATGTTGCCTGTTTGTTGTTGGAAAAGCAGCTTCTTTCTACAGTGTTTTGATAACCTTTAAATAACTTTTGCATTGAATAATAAATCTATAATAATTTCAAAATTATCTTGCATCCTTTTGTGTGTACAGCAGTCAAGTTAGATTAGTGTGGAATGCATCATAATTCTTTTGAAGCTAATGAACTGAAATAAGCTGAGTTTCCACAAGACCATGACCTCCTAGTGCTGCTCCTGAACTTCCTACTAGAACAAAGTGAAGGTGTAGAAATGTGTAAGCTCTCAACTTAAACAGCATGGGATCTGAACTCCAGTAGGATATGTTCCTAGAATCATGTACACAAACAGTAATGAACTCAGCAGAATATATATATGTAATAATCAAAGAAAACTAGGTCATCAACTTAAGAGGAAGGCTGGGGGTGTATAGGAGTGGTTGGAGAGAAGGAAAGACAGAGGTGAAAGGATATAATTATATGTTAATTAAGAATATATTAAATTAAAAAGGAAGGGTAAAATTAGAGTCACTGTTCCAAGTAGCGGTCACTGTAACACTTGATGCACTATTTTCAGCTGTACTGTTTCTATGCAAATATTAGCATTCAGTTCTAGATAATGCCCTCCTTGGTAGAAAACAAAGGGAAGAGCCCTCATTTGTACACTAAGCATAATTACTTTTCAAGCTCTAACCATATTAACCAAAGTGAATTTTTAATATTATATGTTTTTTTTAAAGCACGGTTTTCATGTGGTTAGGGCCTTAAGTTTCATATAGGAATGTGGGATTTTAGAAAAGGAGAAGGAGATGTTAGATGTCCTTTAACTTAACAACCAATAGCTAGGAAAGTGAGGCTTGGAGAGAATGAAATGAACTTGATCGGAGTGGAGGGGAGCAATGCCTGTGTGAGCAGGGGAAGGGATGGCAGAGTGTTGTTGGTGGAGGGAGGGGAAGGGAAAGCAGGACACTGTTGGAGGGAAGGGTAGGGAAAGGAAGGGAAGGGAAGGGAAGGGAAGGGAAGGGAAGGGAAGGGAAGGGAAGGGAAGGGAAGGGGAGTGCACTGTTGGTAGAGGCTGGGAAAGGGGTAGCAGAGCACTGTTGGTGGAGGGCAGGGCTGCTTGGTTTTAAGGCTTGAGCTCATGGGGTATCTGGAAGGAAGAAAGGGCAATACTGAGCAAAAACCAGTTCAAGCCAGCCAAAGTAACAAGCAACTGTTGCCAAGCAGTGCTGATCAAATCATTGCTCTACAGTACATCCCTGGATTTATTTGGAGAAGGGGAGGGAGATGTACAACCTGAAGATGGACTTACACTGAAGCAATTGTGTAGCTAAAGGTATTCTCCTTACAGAGTGGTCCATGGTTTGGAGAGGACTTTTGCTCCAATGGCATCTCCACAGACTTCAGTTTAATGAAAAGTCCCAGGGAATTGGAATATTTCAGAGAGTTGTTGTGTGGGACTGGTGTTAGAATTCTAGTGTCCTGAATCTGAGGCTGTGTTCCTTGGCTGCATCAATGAATCCAAGTAAGACTTTGCTAGAGGATATGTCAGAACACAGTAGGTGAATAATTGACAGAAGTTAAATTAGATCGCAACTAAAGATTAGCCTCAATATTTTGTGATACTGGCTTTTATTCTCCAATATGGGTAAAGAAGCTTCCTGGTCATTCTGGCATCCCACCTTCTTTCTACTTGTAATTATTTTCTCTGTTCAATAGCAAAATACTGCCAAGTTCTAGTTTATTCTCAAGGCTTACCTGAAGTGCATAGAAAAATTGGTCAGAACTAGAACGGTACTCTTGATTTATTTTATTTTGAGACAAACCCAACTGATGTAAGTTGATTAAAAACAAACATCAAAATCATTGAGAGTATTTAAACAAAAATATAAATAAATCATATCTCAGAGGTTCCTATATCTTGTCACACAAAGATGTGTGATATCCTCTCTACTGCTCATGATTCCTTCATATAAGAATCCTTTAAAACCCCATGAAATAAAAAAGGAGAAAGCAAATGCCAAAGTCAAAACCTTCAACTTCTTGATGAAGCTATAGCACAATTAAGTTACAGTGGAGACTGGAACTCTGCAGAGGCTCCTGTTGGAGAAAGTCTCTTCAGAGTCTGTAGAATTGTACCAAAGAGAAAGTACAAAATGTACCATCAATTTGGGTGTAGAACATTACAGATGATTCTGTTAATTCAGTAACTGTGTGGACACTTATATTGCCATAATCTGTCTCTAGAAGGATGGACCAGAAACATAGTAATCATATCTCTAAAAAAAATATAACAGCTTATCCCCACACCTATATAAGCTACCCATATGATTCAGAGGAGGAATGTTTTATACAATTAGAGCTCAATTTATTGAATACATATTTATGCTTTACTTTAGTGATCAAAACCTGAAGCACAATTTTAATTTGCTCTCAAAGAGAGCATAAAAATATATAATAGATTATTAACACAATTCAATAAGTACCAGGAACATTTCAAATACTGAATGATAGACCTTATATAAGTCTCTGTAACTTGGATACTATTGCTGTATTTAACTTTTCTAATAAGACAAACAGGATGCTCTAGAATTCACAAATATAGAATATTTTTGTGAAATATTGATTTCTTTAGGATTATTCTTAGGCTCTAATTTTTCCAGAACATTTCTTGATACTGAACATCTGTGATGAAAGAGAATTAAAACCGTGAGCATTTCTCCTGAGTTCTTTTTTCTTGATTTTGAAATGAAAATAAAAGAAAACAATAGAAAAAACACAAATCAATGTAAGGCTCTAACAATTATCTTCACCTAATTTGTTTTACAAAATATGCTAGATTTTCTACTACTCATCTTAGAGGGGAAAATTATCAGAAGCCACTTCTAAGTTTAGCAGAATCAAGGCATACATGAAATAGTTCTAAAAGAATGTGAAAATAAATGAAACAGTTAAAAGAGAAACCTAAACCCGAGATCTTTATCAGTTTTCACATTTAGCTTACCTTGTGAGAAGTCGCAACTCCTAACTTTAGTCTTGTCTGCAGTTGATCCCAAACTTAGCCCTGATGGTGAGTTTCTTTCCGTGTTTTTATAGTCTCAGTTCTACTTCACTTGCTCCAACCCCTGTCGTTGCTTTCTCTTACATCAGTTCTACAGATTTTCCACGGAACATTTCCCTAACACACATTCTCTCTCTCTCTCTCTCTCTCTCTCTCTCTCTCTCTCTCTCTCTCTCTCTCTCTCTCTCTCTCTCTCCCCCTCTCTTTTGCCCACCCTCTTCCTTTGTCCCTCCCTTCTTTCCAGTCTCTCCCCTCTATTCTCCCTCTCCTTGTTCTTTTCCTTTACAATTTGCTCTATCTATCTATTCTGCTTTGATTTGAGCTGCTTTATTCTGGAAAACTTAATTACACACTTAGCTTTGTGTTCAGCTTCAGATGCATCATCTCTACCAGAAATTTTAGTCCAGCTTTGAGTATTAAAATTTGTACTGGGAAAATTAAATACACAAAGACCTGTGAAAGTCACCAGAGCAATTCCCAGCAAGATTTAAAAGATTTTAATCAGACACAAACTGTATTATTGGTGCAGTTTGGGACCCGTATTTTACATGATCATCTACAAAATAATGAGGAATTTGAACTTAGGTGCACTGTGGTGTGTCAGTGAAACAGACAGGCACTTCTTAATTGACATGGCTATAGTAGGAAACCTGTCACTAATAAGCCTATCGATACTACACTATTACATGTGGCTATAGATACAGAGGTATAGACACATTACCTTGCTTTTGATCCTTTTTATTTTAATTCCATTTCAATTAAAACTTTCCTTGTTCTTTCTGAAGGTTTCCTTTATCTTCATCTCCTGGAAATTACATTTTTCTGCACATGGACATTATTAAAAACAAATGATATGGTTTATAGGTGCAAGTTATGCCAGTTGATCATCATGCTTGTTTTATTCATGAGGGTCTCCATTTATCAGATTTAACAAAGGGTCAAAAATACACTCACTTAGTGAGAGCACACAGCTATGGGCTCTGTGTGAGCTAGATTACAAATGCAGAATTTATTTCCACATCCAGTTCTTTGCCCATGGTTGCATTCTATTTCAAAAGCTGCAGAAGACTCTAAACCAGATTATATTTTTGCCCCAAAAGAAATAAATTTGTTCTTTTCAGTTTTGCTTACAAGCAATTTAAAATACTATTTGCTAGCTTGGGAAATATTGCATGGTTAATTTGGAGTTACCTAAGCAAACTGACCAGAGCACATTGAATTGGTAGGACAGTAAAATGATTCATTTTTATGAAGGGCTTCCAGGGAAACATATGTTTCAATAAGCCTGAAATTTGAGCAGTCGACAGCAGTGGTTCACAAGTCAAGATAAAAATACAATCTAATTGTGGAACCTTGTTTAGATATTGCAGACATAAAACAATTCTGTTAAGCTTGAATCCACATGATGGAAAACTCTCAATATAGTTTTAATGGATGCATCATGATGCTACCAGAGCCAGGATCTATGACGTCCCACCCACCTCAGCTTTCTGACAAGTATATCTACAGCTGATTTATTCCTGATCCGTCCTTGTTACCCAGTCCAAAGATTCCAGCTTATTTGTGGATTTTGTTGACCTAATTCAAAAATTTGACTTAACTGTTCTGCAGCAGAAAAAATAGCAACAATTTATTCCAGGACCACAGCCATGGTCCATTTAAGTCACTTGTACAGGCTTCTGTACATTGCATATTTCTGTGGGATTTGCTTTTGTGCTTTGCATTATCTTGCAAAAGAAAGGAGAGAGGGAACATGCAAAGATGTATAAAGATGAAAAAAATATGCCCCCAGTGATAGATGGGGGAAAATTCATACAAGAAAAAAGAAAATATTATTGAAAGCCTTTCAGTGAGCACATCCTTATTTCATTCAGGTAACAGCCTTGCCAAGGAGGTATTATTCACAAGAAACTGAAAAGAAACACAGCATAGCTTGAATGTGATGTGTTCAGGAATTGGCTATTGCTATTTTTATCAGCTGGGATTCTGGCAGTAAAGAGGAGGCACATTCAAACTGAGAAAATAAACAATATGAAAAATAATGCGACTTCAACAGTGTACACATATTAGAAAGGAAAGTCACTAAGTGATCCACTAAAGGACAAGCACCTCAGTCCCGAAGGACTATGTTATTAATTGTAGGGACCCCAAAATAAAATAATCTAGGTAGAGACAGTTGGCCATGGTCTTTCATAAAAACAAAGACCAAAGACATTAAATGCAGTACTATTTGCAATAGGCAATTGTGAAATTACTGAAGAACGGATAAACACAATATAGTATGTACACACAATGGAGAATTATTTAGACATAAAGAAGACTGAAGTCATATTGTTGCACGACAATGGTGGAACTGGTAACCATGACAGTAAGTGAAATAAGACAGACTTGGACATCCTTTACCTATCTCCTTTCTATATGTAGAGTATAGAAAAATGACATGATAGTAAAAGTGGAGCACTTAAGGAAGACAAAGGGGATCACTGAGAGGGGAGGAAGGATACAAGAGGAAAAATCATATGATCAGGATACATTATATTTACACATGCAAATATCACAACAAATCAATTACTTTTATGATTAATATACCCTAATTAAAAGAAAAAATCTGCTAAAATATAAATATAGATTCTGTGTAGATCATTTGGCTAGTGTTTATAAAATCTTGGATTTGATCTCCAGGAATTCAAAAACAAAACAACACAAACTTCAAATATTGTAAAAGGAACAAGATCCAACAAAGCCAGTAATGATATATCTCCAGGGAAGGGAACCTACAAAATAACCATGAAGATTCCACCCTATCTTCTGGTTACTTTTGTTGCCCAATTTCCCTTCTTTGGTGAAATTCAACTGGAAAGAAGAAACACAGAAACGAGGTAAGAGACAGAGGAGGAGTGGGAGGGGAGGGGAGTAGATGGTGGGTGAGGGTGGGGCACCAGTAGGAGCGGAGGGTGGGGAAACTGTGGCCAGTATATAAAACAAATTTTAAAAATGTTATTCAAATAAAATAAAATGAAAAAATGAAAGAGGCACAACCCATTTACAGAGACACAAGAAGGATGCCTGCCAAGACAAACCTGGTTACAATTGCCATCCTCATCCATTTTATCATCTGACTCATCCTGCTTTGCCAAGTGAGGTTCATTGAAGTATAGTTATATACTCAAACCTCACAATTCAATGAGCTTTGGCCAATGCAAATACTATTTAGCTTTTAATAAAAGCTACAGGACAGTTGTACTTCCCATCAAAATTCTGTGATGTCCCCTTTCCAGTCAACCTCTACCTCCACTCCTGGACACCTCTTATCTGACTGCTGCCCTGAAAGCATGCCTTTCCCAGAGGCATTCCCAATATGTGGTTCTATTTTCTGGTTTCTTTCACTTAGAACAATACTTTAGGGATATATCCATGTTGTTAAGTGTTTCTCAATTCTTCCTTTATTATTGAGATGGTTTTCTTTTTAATTTACATGGTGAATTCTACATTTGCTTCCAGAGAAGAGCTTCACCTGTTCATGATATGTTGCCATCTTTCTGTTGCTCTTTGTGCATGCTCCTTAAAAAAAAAAACAAAAAACAAAAAACAAAAAACTTTGTTTTTATTTATTCTTTGTGTCTTTCACATCATGCATCCTGATCCCATTCATTTCCCTGTTCCTTTGTATCTGCCCTCTGCCCTTGCAACACCCCCGAAATAAATATTTAAGAGAAAAAAAAGAAAAAGGAAAAATCTCGTCATGGAAGCTGTTCCATGATAGTGAGTCATTTAGTAAACCCTTTTGTCCATATACCTTTACTTGCAAGCATTTGTCACAAAGGGTCTTTGGTCTAGTTCAAGGCCGCTGGTTTCTGCTCCTCTATTGATGCTGAGCCCTCATTGGGTCTCCTCATGATTCTCCTGTTGTTGTCCTGGGTTATGGCGATCTCACAGGAATGCCCTTCATGTGCTCTCACAGATCATAGATGAGGTGGATGTTGGGATGCATAAGCTCATAACCCTTTTTCTGGGCCTGGGTAATTAGTTGCAGGGTAGTCAGCCTACTAGCTCCTCCTTCCCCACATCCCAACCAGGGCATTTGTTCTGGTGGGTTCATTCCTTGTACTGATAATCAATGGGAGGGGCCTGTTCCCAGGGTTACTGCAGCTGGTAAAGGGCAGAGACAGCTCTACTCTGCTCTTATGACCTCAGAGCCAGCTATTCCATCTGCCAAAGGTGGCAAAGGGGACACATGTTTGGTTTTAAAAACACTAATACAGTTTTTATTCACAAAGGACATAGGAAGGTCTATTACTTTTTAATTGTATATTTCAAAGTTTGATGTCATTGTCACACTTGTCTTAGTAATGATCAGGGAAAGTTATAATATCACCTACTGTTTGAAATGCGTGTGGATATTTGTATTATTTCTTTCTTTAAAAAATTGGAAAATCCAGCAGTACATAACTATAAAATTCAACAGTAAATCCGTCTAAGCCACTTTTTTCTTTGAGGTGAAATTTTACTAAACTTTCAAATTCTTTAATTTAGGATAATTCTTAGTATATCTTTCCCAGGACACTGTCAGTGTTGACAATGATATCCAGCAATTACATTAATCATCAAGTTATTGTTTTTTTCATGCAATTACATCTTTTCTTTTGTTATCTATTTTAATCTCACCATTTTCTTTCTGAATCTAGGATTATTTTACTCATTCTTTTGTCTTGATCATACAATCTGGATTTGTGTCCTTATTTATTTGTATAATTAACCTTGGGTGTCATTATTTTTTCTCTTCTCTTTCGCCATTAAATTAAATGCTATCTGCTTTTTGTCATTAGTTCCTTCTTCTATGCAGATTTAACTTGAATATAGGAGAAGGTGTCAGATCTCCTGGAACTTGAGTTACAGGCAGTAGGAAGGTGACCAGTTGTAGGAAGGTGACCAATAACTGATGAGACACAAATTCAGGTTCTTTGCAAAAGCAGTATGTGCTCTTAAGTAATGAACCACACATCTCCAGACCCATTTTACAATTTAAAGATTTTATGATAAGCTAATATTAAACTTTATTGCATCCCTATAAGCGTCCTTCAAATAATAGTTATTTCCTCCACATGTATTCCAT